TAACCACACACTCAAATGCTCACGAAGAAGAGCGCTTGTGCGTTCGGTTGAGTAATGTAAGTGGTTAAATGTACTTGCACATCGGCTTTTATGCTTTTATGATGCGAGATTAACGTAAACAGCCCACTGTGAACATCTTTGTAATTCGCGTCAACCTTTTCGAACTTTATGAATGATTATTTTAGGTTCAAGTGGTGCGTGTAAGGAACTGGAAGCAAGCAGAATATACGGCTATTTCTAAAGCACGCAGTGCCATCTGCTGTTAAAAACTAAGCTCAGAATCAATTCAAGAGAGGATTGCGATGCCTTCGGAAATCTCAGAATCATTTCTCGATTCGCAATGCATCGATTTATTGTCCCAGCCATAATTACTGTGCTATACATTAGATTATTTATAGCCTTTCTTTTTTCTGTCCTATCATAGGACAGAACAAGAAACGCTATAAATAATCTTTCATTGCGCAAAAGTATTATAATACGAAAAGCTCCAATACAGAGCGGCACAAAGCGCTTATACGCATCCTGTGCGCAGAATGATGCGCTTGAAGCAACACGAAGTCACAGCGTGCAGCGCTACGCATAGAGAAATTCAAAGCACAAAGGAAAGAGATATTGATGCGTAGTTTATTAAATGTGCGATAGTTTGAGCCTTTTCTTTTAACAGTTTTAAATTTCAGTTACTGTGCGCTCTTGAAGAGAGTTTCATTGTTTTGACTGTCGTAACCGACCGTGACCCGCAGTGTGAACGCTGAATGGAGGATGACAGACAGCTGCAGCGTAGAGAAGATTTTACGTCAACTTGAATTTAACGACTTAAATATTCATCTGTACCTCACATTAAACTATGGAACAGCTTCAGAACACTTGGACTTTGACTTTATGGTGCTTTATAATGTTTTTGTGCTTTCGTGAGGCCAACAATAACACAGAATAATAAACACACAATATCGGATTTGGAGACCGATACCTGATCCGGCAGAAAATGCCAGTATCGGAGCCGATACCGATACGGAGTATCGGATCGATGCATCCCTACAAATAACGGTTCTTTATTGGCATCTATAGTTCAATGAAGAACTTTCAACATCCATGGAGCATTTCCATTAGAAAAAAGATTCTTTGGTTATGCAAAAGACATTTAGAACCTTTATTTTTTTAAGAGTACATGAAACATCTTAGCCATTCATGCTACATGCAGACTTCAAAAGGTTTCAATTCAGGACATTGAGGAAACCAATCGTACTGACTCATTTTCTCATCAAAGAGGCAAGCCATAAAAAGGTTTCTGAAACTACTCCCTGTGCATGTTTCCTTCCAGCACATAGAAACATAAATGGTCAATTCACAGATTTTGTATGCAACTAAACAATTCGAACACAACATCCATGCATTTCCGTTCTCACACGGCGAACGCTACACTTTAGAGGCTTTAACAAAACAATGAACTTCCTAAGTCTTGCACAGGCCTGACAGGACAATTTCCCCTTCTTAAAATGACCGCTCCCTGGGGAAGCGTTGCTCAAAACAGAATCCCTTCAAGTCTGAGTCACTGCGATGAATTGTTGCTAATTAAGCCGCAGAAGTGATACGGTGCGTGGTTTGAGACCGGCGGATTCTCCAGCACATTGTCTTTTTGCACACACGCGATTTGCATTTCTTTGAAAAGGCACTTTTGATGTGACTCGATTCCTTGGGAAAATCTTTGCAAGACTGTTCCCTGGTTAGTGGGACTTCTAACGCCGATTGCTGAGCCTTGTATTAATATCTGTCGAGATCAAAGGTAAGTCGTTTGAGAAAGGGACAAGGTGAGACTGGACTCCCGACAGATAAACGCTAAATCAATGCATGTTTACAACCAAATCTAGATGCATTTGGGCACTAATAACTGCGGTCAAAATACTCCCACAAAACAGATGACACCAAAATCATTCAAAAATCCCAAGGTAATCTGGTCTCAGAAGGAAATGGGTTTCCAAGCCACATTTCTCAGTTGATACAAATCTGAAAACGTGAAGTCTACGTTCTTCTCTCGTTTTTGCACTGCCAACTGCAGCAGCATAAAATAGCTGAACACTGGCCAAGCAACACTGGGCAGTGACCAACTTCACAACATTATCATTAGTGGTGAGTTTTACATGGGTGGAAACAAAACAAGACATAAAAGCTCATGTAACAACAGAAACTAGCGTGAAACAAACAACTTCGGACTGCAGATATCCCAGCAACGCTCGTGGTGTTTGATTCACCACTGGACAAAGAAGCTGTAACAAGAGACTGGGGTTTTCAGTTGCTCAGCATCAACCAGAAGCCAACACTCACCTTCCTGGAGGTATAAGGTTGCGTTCTCCATGATTGGGGAGTAGGAAAGCGAGAGATTG